AGGGGGGCAAAATTAAAAAAAAAAAAAAAAAAAAAAAAAAAAAAAAAAAAAAAAGCTGAATGGCATGGTGGCTGATTTTATTAATTACATCATAGACAAAATGGCGATGTATCGTGAATCCAAATAAATGGAACTAGGAATGAAATAAAAAAGAATTATTCTTGTTGAAAAGAGCCACATCACCCCCTGTTTGAACAAAGCCTACGTGACCCTATTCATGTAGTACAGGTCAACAAAGAACGGGTGGTTTTCTTCTTTCATATTTGAATATGTGCAGAAAAACTAAACTTAAAAACTTTACTCTTTCCAATGAAAATTCCAATAACCAAAGAAAGGCACTAAACCATTCTGTCCGTTAGACTTACTAAACAATATGAATCCAAATTGATAATAGCAAGCTGTCAGAAATACTCAGTCTCTCAAAATTCGATAAGAACAATGAAATAATAAAGCAGAAGTAAACGAGCAAAAAAAAACACCCATGGGAATTGCAAAATGAACTGACCAGCTTAACACAGAGAAATAGCAAACAGTGTTTCCGAATGACAAGTCCATAAGAACCAATTACTCACGCAAGTTGCAAATCTTATTTACAGCAACAACATAAATTGAAAAAATGAGAATTCAAACCAAGGCTCTGATATCACATGTAATATTAACTATAATACCCAAGAACGTGAATAATCATGATTCCCACTTACCATAATGCAGAAAGGAATTGACATACCTGATTCCACAAGAGCAACCTTTGGAGAAGAATGAAGGCACTAGAATATAGTTTCTCTCAATTAAGTTGCACAAGAGTGATGGATAATGTGTCTTTTATAGGGCAGAGAGAAGACTAGTTTCTTTTTCATAATGATTTTCTCTCCATCAAAGATTGAATCTAAATGGGAAATAACATTATTAATTGATCTAGAATTTTACTTACACAAACTGTATAGGATTGTAACCTTTGACTAATCCAAATAATTAAGTAAATATCTGCCACATCATGTGGGATAATTTCTTACATGTTGATCACAATCTTTGCAATTAGAAACATTCAATGTTAGCATAAGATTACTGTAAATTCCATTATACTCGAACTGACATAGTACCCAACTGGGATTAACGAACTGCCAAATTTCTTGCACCCATCTGCTAGTACGAGGGGCGGACGCAAAGAATTTGAGTTAGGAAGGCACAATCAAAATTTGTACTTGATTTTGAATGTTTAATATTTGATCCGAAAAATACAGATTTACATTTAAAAAATATTATTCATTAATATTTTCCTCATCATTTTCATCTATTTGATTTTAAACAGTCATTTTATTAATATTTTGCTCATCACAAGAAAATGTATATTTATATTTTAAAGAATTGTATACTGATATAAACAATTAATTCAAATAATCGAAATGAAAAACATAAAACCAATATTCAATACTAATAATCAGTCAAATAAACACAATTTGTTAGTTATAAGTTAAATTTTATATAATCAGGTTAGGCATGTGCTATATACATAAATAGGATAGGGGAAAATGCAAATTTAGGTTCTAATTAATTGAAAAGTGAAAATTTGTAGTAGATATGATAATTGTAGAGTAAACAAATTTTAAAAAAAAATTAGAAATGTTAAAATTTTGGTAAAAGGCGTGAGGGAGAGAATACGATATTTATAGAAATCAAAAAGAGAGAAAATTCAAATTTAGTGTGATTTTGCCCTTGTTTGGTGAGGATTAAAGTCCAATTTTTAGTAAATTTTGATAAAGTTTTAAAAGTTAAGGAATCCATGAAATATGTTATTAAAACTAATTGAACTTTAATTTAGATTAAAATTTCAATTTCAATTGATACCCCCCCAAGACCCCCCTTGGATTCGCCAATGGCTGGTACTCGAGACGTTGAAACCGTGACATTTGTAGAGTTGCTTAAGCAACCAATCGGGATAACATTGTATCCTGCTGGGTATGAATTTACAGGATAGGTATAAAATTTGTAGTTTCCATAATATGTGGCCATGAAAGGTAAAAATGAAAGTTTAATAAAGTTCATCATAAGCCTTATTGGAATGCAATTATTGGGACCATAAAGGGCTATTCATTGGGTGTAGTACTTAATATAACACACATAAAAATCTCTAGAAATGGATTATTTAGAGTGGGTATTCTTTAATCACTGCACGTTATGTCTGTATAGGAATAATTGTTTCTCGGTTCTAGGCCTTGTAAATTAAAAGGGTGATCTATTTGGATGTTGCCACAGAAGAAGTATGAACAAACATTCTCCGAATGTATGATTGGGAAGGTTAATGAGAAAAGAAATAGAAAAATATTCCAGAGTGCCCATAATATTTACAGGTAATTAAGGTTGTAGAGGGACAATTTCTTAGGCCGGAGATTGAAAAGATGAAGAAAATTTCAAGATGAGGACTTGCACAATGGATATTATTTTCGAGGTAAGCGAGACTATGAAACAGCCTAGCTCAATATAATATGGTGTGGATATGGCTTGGGACAATAAGCTACAACAAAAGAGGGCTCGGATTTTCCTAAGTTAAGCTGATAATAGACAAATGATATCTGACAAGTACTTCAAGCTGTGAAGTAAGTTTCCTAGTAATAAATAAAAATTTTATCTTATAAAGAAAAAATTTCTTTCAAATGAGGAGAATAGAAATGTGGCATCATAAATAAAATAAATATATTTCTCTTTTCTAACAATTTAAACTCTTAAATGAAGTGATTCAAGAAAAGAGAAAACCACCATGAACACGTCAAGTCTTTGATGTGTGTTGATGATAAAATATAAATAAATTAACTCTTCTCTTCTAATAACTAACATTTTAAGTTGATAAAATAATGAATTATATAGGTCTAAAGTGTGAGCAAGAAGTTTTTTAGTTGATATCCTTTTCAGATTTCTAGCACATTGTTTTCTTTAAAAGCTTCAGCCATGGAAAATAATGATCTGTATATGAAAGCGAGTTACTAATATACTGTAACTTTTATTATTGATTGCTAATATTTAACACAATTTTCATGAGATTCCACTACATTACCAAAAATTGAGGTTACAACCTATACCAGTCCCAGTGAAGAAGAGTTATACATTAATAACTTAAACATTCTACATGGACAGAGATATGCATTAACACACATCAAATGGCAGTTGGAAAGAAAAAGTAACATCCATTTAGTTGCGCTACACTGTACACGATGTTGCACAACATGAATATAGCGACTGGTGAAGTGTCTCAGTGTTCCAAGTCTTGACTAGTTTAGTCAATGAGTTCGAGCTCCAAAAAAAAGCCTAGACAAGTAGAAGTTTCTAGCTTATGATCCAAATATACGCATGAAAGGCCTAAATTGCCCTTTTAAACAACGAAAAAATTTATTTAAAACATCCTAAATTTCATCATTCTTGTTGAACCCCCTCTAACCAATCCCTTTCACCACATTGTTGTTATTTTAAATTAGTGGAAATATTTTCTTAATATTTTTAGTCTATACAGAAACATTTAGTAATTGTAAAGTAAGAATATGCTATGCTCTGATCACATAAGAAAGTGAAGTTCTACAAATTGGACAAGTGTTGTTCTTCTTTAACCATAGAACAATGCAGTCATTGTGGAAGGAATGCCCACATTTAGCTATCCTTCTTACTTTTTTTTCAGGATTGTATTCTAGGCATATTGCACAAGTGCTATTGCTATTCCTACTCCCTGAAGTGCTTTAATTTTTCCCAACAACTACCAATTCTATACACAATTCTATATTGGAGTCATCAAGGCTTGTAATCACGCTACCTTCTCTCGATGTTATTATTGTGAGCATGGTGGATTGTGGCAAAGAAGCGGAGGCGTTAGAGTTGTGATCTGCTGTTTCAATGGCCTCATTTCTTCCAACTGTCAGCTTGATTAGACGCATGCAACTTGATACAAAGAGCAACGCCAGTAGAAGAAAAGATGGAATAAAGAAGGGTGATTGAAAATATTCACCGTGATCCTACTAAACAAATAAACTCGTTATTAAAGGTTAGAGAAGATATGAACAAAATGAGTTAGATCCCTATGTCGACAACAATAGATTTCATAAACTATACTGAATCTCTACCTGTTTCTTGAGGACCTGGTTGTTGACCACAATCTTAGCAATAAGAAACATTCCATGTCAATAAAATATCACAATAAATTTCATATAACTGGTACTGACCACGGTACATGACGGGGTAGACTGAACTACCAATACTTTTGCACCCAAGAAATTCAAATGCTTGTGGTCACATGTAGCAACAGTTGCATTTGTAGAATTGCTTGGGCAGCCAATTGGTAAAGCAGAGTATTGCTCTGGGTCTGAATTTACAAGACAGGTATAAAATGTGTAGTTCTCGAAATATTCGGTCATGAAAGGTGAAGATGAAATGTTCATAGAGTTATTCATAAACCTTCTTGGGAGGCAATTTCGGGGATCATAGAGTGCTATTCTTCGGATGTTGTAGTCGATATACCTCACATAAAACTACCAGAAAAATGAAGACTTAGAATAGGTATTCCTCGATTACTGCATGTCAGGTTAATATAGGTACAGTTATTTCCTTGTTCTTGGCCTTTTAATATGAATGGGTAATATATTAGAACCTCTCCACCAAAAGAAGATGGACAAGCATACTCAAAATGGACAATTGGAAACATTGACAAAAGAAAGAGAAGAAATTTGAGAATGCCCATGTTTTCCTGCCTTCCAGCTAATTGCGGATGTAGAGCGGGATGGACAATGCACAGGCAGGCTTCAACTATAAATATGCCCGTGGCATTTTATGGGAGGATGCTATGGACTTTACATAGATATTTCACATAGGACGGATAGATCTGAAATAATGAATCCCTTGGTTTGTACTAAACAAACAAATTAGATGTCTCTGCTATCCATGGTCGAAAATTGTAATGGAGAAAATAATATATATTTATTTTCCTTGCAAATTGCAGTGAAATAATAGAAGGTTTTGGCAGCGTTAACTATTGTGTTTTGTTTGGAACCACCAGCATTGGATTGTGCATTTTTTCGAACATAATCCCACAAATATTGTATACAGTAGACAAAGAGCATCTATACTTGTAACACCCCAAATCTAGATACCTAGATTTAGAAGTGAAAGTTATACAATTCGCCCCACATAACACCTAGAGGGGGGTGCATAGGTAGTTGCATGGAATTTACCAAATTTCAGTTAATAATTGCATCACAGTATGATTATTAATTAGTCCAGTCCAATTCACATGCAATGTACCCTATGTTGAATTAATGCAGTATAATAAATTGCTGGAAAGTAAAGAACACATAAAATTTGATGACGGAGAAACCCTAAACTGGGTAAAACTCTATGCACAAGCCAGTATGAATCCACTATAAATGAACACAACTTACACCAGACTAAACCAATACACATTCTTTCTATCGTCGTGTACCGCAATATTCAAAACCCTCCTGGGTTGCATGCTCCTGCACCAACTCCCAGATTTTGATCTCATCTATCTCCAGTGGATTACCTGAGAATTCTTCGTTCTCCAACGATCAGAACTTTGGTTACCTTCCTTGATCTTCAACTCTTGACAGATCATCTGAAAGCTTTTGATTTTGGAGTTTGAATTTCAGGTTTTGATGTTTTTCAATCACCAAAGTTGATGAAGAATGGATTGTATATTTTTTAAGGATGCAAGTGGTTTGTCTAATGGACAATCTAAGCTTTTTTGTGAAACGGCACAGATACTTATATGTGGAATGTTTTGGGTAGTCTGGAATTGCTAAAACTCTCAAAAAAATGAGAATTAGTGTTTTGCAGGAAAAATCGACCATCTAGTGAAAAGCTAGTGGTGATCTTTCGCTCGACCTAAGGCTTGGCGAGAAGCCAGGGACGTTCTCTATACATGTGCCACTCGAGCAGTGTGTTAGCATGAATCAAATGAAAATGTGGCGATCCTTCCTTCCTTGTTTTGATATTAAACCCTAACCTACCAACATTTTTTACAATACTGCAACGACTCCTCGACTTTAACACTGTTTCAATTTGAACCTTTTTGTTCACAAAACTACCAATCACAAGTAAACCTAACAAGAAGTATTATAATTTAATTTCCTCTTAAAACCATAAATGCGAAAACTGATTATAAATATTTCTTTAACATAAAAATATTAACGACTTTCATTTAAGGAAAGAATTTTAGAAAACATTTATGTTTAATAAAAATATAAGATGGTCGAATTAAATATTAAACTTATTTCAACTTGAGTCAACATTAAATGTATCAGTACCGAGTCCGTCTCACCACAAGTAGTCTTCTCGAATCATCTTGCCTTCATCATCTGAAATTTGAGAGGATAACGTGGAATAAGCTAACGCTCAATAAGCAAACTTCATGCATATGATGTATGATTGTGATATGCACATGAATTACTTTAAGATAAATGTATTTCTCAATATGTATCATATTTCTTTCATTTCTTTAAAAACTTAACTTTGACATCGTGAGCTGACTTGGTGTATCGCCTAGCCAACCAGAATGCGGTGCGCAATTATTATTTGGAATCTGACCAAATCCTACCGGTGGTACCACAAAGCAGTTAACATTAACATTATCTTTGAATATTAAACATTGATCATTGGTCGAGTGCGTCGGTCCCCCATTATCATTGAATATTAAACATTGATCATTGGTCGAGTGCGTCAGTCCCCCACGCTCCATTTCCCACTCACATCTTTCATAACATAGACATATACCTTGTAACAAAATATTTGGGATACACATCTTTTTAAGACATTCATTGACTCATTGACATTTGAAAACTTTTTTTTTTTTTAAACTTCCTGTATGCTCATGGATGCATATGTCATGAGAAATTAACTTTTCTTGAATGGCAAAGTGTGGATATCCCTAGCCACCTATGAAGCCAATGTACCAAAATCCGATTTCATTACCTTTTATTTAATAACTTTGACAAATTTACAATTGAAATGTAACATGAATCATTACTCTATTAAATTAACTGATTTATTATTGTTGTTGTAAAAATAGAAATAAAACCTACGTGTGAATAGGATTGACATTCCTATCAATTTTAAAGTTAAAATCACTCGTCATTCAAATAGGTAATAATTTGTTCAATAATTATAAAAATAATAGATTAGTAATTGTTAAAATAATAAATCCTTATATAACATCTTTAAAATAATAAATCTATTTTCCTACAAATTTTATATAACTGCACACAATCTGTGCACACAAATACAAATTTATAGATATACTGGCACATATAATGTGCACACACTCATCTATACATATACATACAACATATATTTATATATATATACACACACGCGCGCAATCAATGGCACGCTCATTTCATGTATAAAATGAAATATAAACATTATTTTAATACTAATCAAATAAAATGTCATGATTGCTTTTGAAAAATTAAACAATTGAGCAAAATAATAAATAAATTTTCATACCTTACCACCATTCTAATTTTCCAGAATTCAAAATGCCAATTCATTCATGAATATGATGGAGCCGAATTTAACATGTAAGGCGGTGAAGAAAATAGGTAAAGTCTTATTTTCTAACTTAGTGACAATTATTAATTGGCATAATTTATGGAAATAAATTTTAACACTCCTTATTTATCTTATTAACTTATTTAAATCCTTTAATTATTTTATTGGTTTGAAACCCATTTTGTTGTTCAAATAATAATTTTATATTAAATTACTCAAAAATGCACTTATTGAAAAGAGGAAATACATCTAAATTCAATACAAAAACAAGAAGAGTTAAGATCACATAGTAAACCAATGTATTATGTAAATGCACTTATTGAAAAGAGGAAATATACTAAATTCAATACAAAAACAAGAAGAGTTAAGATCACATAGTAAACCAATGTATTATGTAATTTAATCATATTAAGCTTAAGTTAATAGTCACATCAATCATTTAGAGTGTCTAGAACACATTTAATTATAAAAAATATATAATTAGTCACGATAAATATATTTATATTAATTAAGAAATAAATTAAACATTAATAATAATCTAGATAGACATGATAAATATGAAAGACAAGCATGTGTTGTTACAACACTTACTTAGAGAATGTTTAGTATGGCCTTATTCTGGCATTAAAAGGAAGGATAGTTGGCAAAAACTAAGTGACTTTCGGATTTATGTTTTGAGCTTTCAGTAACATCTCGAATTATTCTGCATTAAATGTGTTACATCTGCTCCCGGCGCGGACGCCACATAGGTAGGATCGGACCATGTGCAATGATCATCACAGCCACGTATGACTAATGGAGGACCCAACACCAACCGTTGGCCTACTGACTCATGGCCAAAGGAATAACGAACCAAGTTCCTTAAGATGACCATTTCGCATTTCCCTTTTTTCCTTGTTCTTTTTCTATCAAAGAAAACTTAAAAATTAGTCTGTCAAATATCCAACTATATTGACCATCATCTGTTAAGTTTCCCCAAAAAAAAGAAATGCTTTTGATTGAAGGACTCAATTGTAGTTGCTCTCATGCCTTGTAGTTTGGACTTTGGAGTTCTTTTCTGTTACCAAAATACACGACTTCTTTCATATCTTGTGTACGATGAAGAAAATTGGTCAGCAGTTCACTATAAATTAAAAGGGTAATTAGCACAAAACGTCCCTACCTTCCGACGTTTTTTTGGAAAACGTCTCTATCTTTCATTTTTTGGCGGATTACACCCCCACCTTTACTTTTTTTTGCGCAAAACGTCCTTCTATCAACTCCCCGTTAAAATGCTCCGTTAAATCAATGGCTAATTAGCACAAAAGGTTCCTACCTTTTCAATATTATTGTGTAAAACGTCTATATCTTTTATTTTTTGGCATAATTAGCACAAAAAATCCTTACATTTCAATGTTATTGTGCAAAACGTCCCTACCTTTCATTTTTCAACATTTTCACCCCTACCTTTCACCTTTCATTGGGATAATTGGCACAAAACGTCCCTACCTTTCAAGTTTATTGTGGAAACGTCCCAACCTTTCATTTTTTGGTATTTTTGTCCCTACCTTTTACATTTCTTTGCGCAGAAGGATTTTTTCATTAGTTTTTGACAATTTTACCCTCCATTCAAATAAAAAAAATAAAGAACTAATTGCAATAATAGTCCAAAAATTTCGAAAAAATGACAAATCGGTCACAATTTATTGTGAACTGAAAAATTTTTAAATTACCCAAAAAAAAAGAAGGGAAACTCGAATGTACATAGAAATAATCAAGAAATAGAGAAATTTTAGAACCATAGCTAATGAAACTGGAAATCTTCAAAAATGGGTAAGTTTAAATCTCAATTTTTATTCAGTGAAGAGTAGATGGAAGGCTTGAGGCAAAAATCACGTAATCTTCAAAAATTTTCATTTCCATTAGTTATGATTAAAAAAAATTATCCATTTCTTGATTATTTTCCTGTACATTCAAGTTTCTTTTCTCTATTTAATTTTAAAAATTTTTAGTTCACAATAAATTATGACTGATTTATAATATTTAAAAAAAATTGGGACTATAATTGCAATTAGTTCTTTATTTTTTCTTTTCTTTTCTTTTTGTTTCATTTCAATGGAGGGTAAAATAGTCAAAAAGACCTTCTGTGCAAAGAACTGTGGAAGGTAGGGGCAAAAATGTCAAAAATGAAAGGTATGGATGTTTTCAACAATAAATTTGAAAGGTATGGACGTTTTGTGCCAATTACCGCTTTTCATTACGTAAAAAGTCATTTTCATCCATTTTTTCAATAAAATGACAATTTTACCCTCCTATTCAAATAAAACAAAAAGAAAAAATGAATTACCAACTACAACCATAATCCTTAAATTTTTAAAAAATTACAAAGAAATCATAAATTCTCAACCACGACCACTTTCATAACCTATCAAGCTGTCAACTATAAATCCACATAACACCATCTTTCAGCCACCATGCCCACAGGACTCCACGACCATAATGTGGTTGTTTCGGACAGATTAATGACCAATAGCATGGAGGAGAATATTGGGGAGAGTGAGGCGAGGCTTGTGGTGGTGGAGTATGATAGGTGTTGTGACCGAAAGGTGGTGCTATATAGATCTATAGGTGGTGGCTTGGTGGGGTTGTAAAAGTGGCAGTAGTGGAGAATTTAGGATTTATCTGTAATGTTTTGAAAAATTTAGGACTATGATTGCAATTAATTATTTATTTTTCCTTTCTTTTCTTGTTGTTTTATTTGCATAGGAGGGTAAAATCGTCATTTTATTGAAAAAATAGATGAAAATGACCTTTTACGCAATGAAAGATGAAAGGTAAAGGTGAAAATGCTAAAAAATGAAAGATAGGGACGTTTTGCACAATAATATTGAAAAGTATGGACCTTGTGTGCTAATTATGCCAAAATATGAAAAGTATGGACGTTTTACACAATAATATTGAAAGATATGGACATTTTGTACTAATTACCCTTTGATTTAACGGAGCATTTTAACGGAAAGTTGACATAAGGACATTTTGCGCAAAAAAAGGTAAAGGTGAGGGTGTAATTCGCCAAAAAACGAAAAGCATGGATGTTTTCCACAAAAAATCGAAAGGTATGGATGTTTTGTGCTAATTACCCTTATAATTTATGATGATCTTTTATCCTCTTGTTATGGAAAGTGGTAATATTTTCACGACCCGAGTTCTCTATCACAAGTCTAATTCGTTTCTTGAGGATGAATCCTACAAAAAAAATAATGTTCGAGAATTGTATCTTGTATCTAATATTTGAAGGTGTTAATGTGTTATTTTCTATAAAATGTCATTCTTCAGTACGGATACTGATCATGGTGTGCAACGCAATTGAGTTTCATACTAACATCTTCTCAAGATAAAATTAAGCTGCCATTTGGATGTCGAGCATTTCAAAGTTTAATGAGTGGAATAGTGTTTTTTTTTTTTGAAGAATGGATAGTTGAAAAAGAATTAAAAGTTTCCGATTTACGTGTAATATTAATTTATAGAAGATTGTATGATTGAAAATAGGAGTGAGAAAAATAAAATTTAATTTAATGGAGGCCAAACAGGGGCTAAGCCAGAATAATTTCCATTCGTTGACTGCATTTTTCGCTTACAAAGCCAAATCCAGGTGTGAACAAATAAGAATAAGATTTGGTTGCAAAAGCACAGGAAAAAAAAAGAAATCTGCACCAACTAGTTTTTTTTTTGGGAGGAGTCAGACAAAGAGAGGAAGTAGAATATCAGAAATTGTGTAAGAACAGAAAATTCTAGATTATATGTGACTATGCCAATATTGATATACCCGAGGAGTGTATCCCCGAGGACTCAATACATACCCCCACCTCATTTCTCTTTTATGGTCCTCGGGGTAACCCAAGTCCTCGAGGTATCGTAGTCGTCGAGATACCTCGAGCACACATTTACCTTCCCTAAATGTCCTCGAGAATAGTCCTCGAGACATACACCACCAACATGCCTCCTAAGACCTGGGTACCTAACTAACAAACCTAAACACCCAAGGATTTTACATCAACCCTGACACCACTCGTCAAACAATTCCATTACAAGTAGGACACTCTTTATAATAGAAATTTCCTTGGATAAAAACATCCAACCAACACAATCCTACTAGGAGTACACTACCTACTCCTATAAAAGCAGAACCTTGGGCCATTGTTCAGGTACGTTTTTATTATTCTTCAGCATATAGCCTCACTCATATATTTCCCTTTCTGACTTAAGCATCGGAGGGGCGATAAGAACACACCTCGTTGCCTTTGTTTCAGGTATCGGAAGATCACGTTCGTGCTCATCATCGGTCATCAAGCTCGGGAAATCTACAGGTACGATTTTTGGTAGCATCATTGGCGCCGTCTGTGGGAAGCGCTACCAAAAGCCATGGTAAACACACGATCAGGTCTTCCACCCGCGAGCTCATCCGCTCCAAACCAACCCCCTCCTGAGGATATCCCTGTTCCTCAAGAGGAATCATCAGAAGTGCCAGAGCCCCAGCCGGCAGTCGTCACTACTGGAGCCTTTGAAGAGCTCAGACAACAGGTCGCCACACTGACTCAGCTGCTAAGTCAAAGAAATTCGCATCCATCACCCACACCGGCACCCCAGGGGGGTTTTATGGCTGATGCTCGAGCTCGAGCTCCAAACCCCCCATCCGACGGAGTAAGAACCTCGGGTATTCGCAATATGACATTGGGCTTGAGATCGATCGCTATGGATTCCGGTGATATTGCCCGGATCATTCAAGAAGGAATTACAGCTGGCCTGCAACGGACGATCAAAGAGTGTGATGGGACCACCGATCCAATCAATCATCTGAACATATACACGGACGTCATGAATTTACAGGTCGCACCAGATCAGGTGATGTGCAAGGCCTTCCCGCAAACCTTGACGAATGCCGCTAGGGATTGGTTCTCAACCTTAGAGTCCAACTCCATAGTCTCATTCTCGGATTTGGCGGACAAGTTCTCCGCTTTCTTCGCAAGCAGCAAACGCATCAGGAAGACAGCGGGTTTCCTCATGCAACTTAGACAGGGGCAAAATGAGACCCTACGTGACTTCATGACCAGGTTCAACAAGGAAAGACTTCAGATTCCCGACCTACACATAACTGCAGCGGTTTCTGCCCTCACATATGCCATAAAGTGTGAGGCCTTCAAGATGTCTTTATCCAAAACTCCGCCAAAGACAGTGATCGAGCTTCTTACCCGAGCCGAGAAGTACATAAATATGGAGGAAACACTGAACCCGAGAAAGGTTGGACCATCCCATGACAGGGTCGAGCATAAAAGACAGCATGACCCGAACCCTCGTGAAGAACAGCATCGGAAAAAACAGAGACAGGAGGTTCCCCCGACGTCGTTCACGCGTTTAAATACGTCAAAGACCAATATATTGATGGAGATCAAGGATATGAAGGAACTGAAATGGCCTGTCAGAATGAGGTCACCACCCGAATCCAGGACATGAACAAGTACTGTGAGTTCCATCGGGATCACGGGCATACCACGGAGAACTGTAAGGCCCTGCAACGGGAGATTGAAGCCCTTATTAAAAGAGGACTCCTGAGCTCCTACGTCGGTAACGACAAACGCCCGAGGAATGATCGTGGCAGGGAAAAAGACCCTGAGGCAAAAAGGGATGGTCAACCTACTGCTGGAACCATCAATATCATCATTGGAGGTATTGCCTCGGGAGGAGACTCCAACAGTGGAAGAAAACAATATGCCCGACGATATGTCTTGGCCTCTGGGATGCCTCAGGGAAAGCTGGAGGATATTACTTTTGGGACCGGAGACTTAGAAGACGTATCACTTCTACATGATGACGCCTTGGTAATCTCAGCGATTGTGGCCAATTTCGAAGTAAAGAGGGTCTTGGTTGACAACGGGAGTGCGGCCAATATACTTTCACAAGAAGCTTTTGCCAAAATGGGAATCTCATCTCACCAGCTCAAAGCGGTTAAAACTCCTCTCCAGGGGTTTGGTGGAGGAGTCATCACTCCAGAGGGTGTAGTTGAGTTTCCACTAACTTTGGGTTCTGGCCAGAAACAGGTTACGGAGATGACATCTTTTCAAGTGGTACGTGTCTCAATGGCCTATAACGCAATTTTGGGAAGACCACTCCTGAACAAGATTAAAGCCATTGTGTCCACCTTCCACCTAGCCATGAAGTTTCCAACAAGTAATGGCGTTGGGGTTGTCCGTGGAGACCAGACAGCTGCCAGACAATGCTATGTTGCCAGTGTTCGGGAAATAAATAACGACGTCATGCAAATCTCGAGGATGGATCCCGAGGACGGGCAACAAGTCAGACTCGCTCCTGTCGAAGAATTGATGGAAATTGAGCTCGAGCATGATAAGAAGGTGACGATTGGTCAGGATCTTGACGTCACCCTGAAGACAGAACTGACGTCACCCTAAAAACAGAACTTGTTAGTTGCTTATCTCGCAACATTGACCTTTTTGCCTGGAAGGTTGAGGAAATGTCAGGGATAGACCCTAAAATTGCAGTCCATAGGCTTAACATTAGCCCAGGGGCCAGACCAGTGAAGCAGAGGAAAAGGCAGTTTGCCCCAGAACGACGGGAGGTCATTCGCGAAGAAATTAACAAACTCGTCAGCGCTCAATTCATTCGGGAGGTCCAATATCCCGATTGGCTTGCCAATGTTGTTTTAGTAAAGAAGGCCAATGGTAAGTGGAGGGTCTGCATTGACTTCACAGATCTTAATAAAGCATGTCCAAAGGATAGTTATCCCCTACCGCGGATTGACAATTTGGTGGATAGCACGTCTGGACATAAGCTATACAGCTTTTTGGATGCATTTTCAGGTTATCATCAAATCCTCATGGCCGAAGAAGATCAAGAAAAGACATCATTCATGGCCGATTCCGCCATATACTGTTATAAGGTCATGCCTTTCGGTTTGAAGAATGCAGGGGCAACATACCAAAGACTCATCAACAAAGTCTTTGCTAACTTGATTGGAAGGAATGTGGAGGCGTACGTTGATGACATGGTGGTCAAGAGCAA